GAAGAAAAAAATAAATAAAAAATAAAATGTACGGTTTATCGCTGTTTTTTGGTTGATCTTGTACTTCGTGGACTGAGGGTTTTGCTTTTCTTTTTTTTTTTCCTGTTCTCTTTGGGTACTGTAGTTTTGTGTTCGTCCAATGTACTGTCTTCTGATGATTCTGTCGCCTCTGTATCGCTAGTATTGGAATCGGAGTCTGTCTGGTGTAGATCCTCTGCAGTATAGATTTTACCGTCAATTTGTGGTTTCAGGCCCGTAAGTTTAACCTGCTTGTTCTCCTCTTTAGCCTTTTTAAAGTGCTGCCTCAGGATTTTTAGTTCCTTTCTGTCTTCTTCGCAAAGATCATTTGATATTGCATATCCTGTATCTTTTAAACCTCTGAGTTTATCGGCGTTTTTAAACAATTCAGACTTTTTTAGATAAGATGAACTCAATAAGTACTGGAGAAGATTCTCCTTTTCCAAGTTTGTAGATATTGTTAATGTCACTTGGTTTGATATTTAAGGAGAGCAATTCATTTAGCTTGTCAATTGCATTTTTAATTAAATTATTCTCACTTTGAGGTTTTTGAAGTCCAAAAAGCAAAATGTTATTTCTTCGGATTTTTCTATCCAAGACTACGTTTTTTTGCTCTAACTTCTTTGTTTTTTTTTGTGGAATTATCAAGCTTTTTGGTGATATTTGACTCGCTAGCCTGAATCTGCTTGGTTAACTTCTGTGTTTGCTCTTTATTTTGCTCCGAGAGCAATTTATACATATCCGCAAATGACGTTGGATCCCCCATTAATGTTCCTGCGATGTATTTAGACCTTGGGGATCAATCGAGCAGCACTTACTTGCTTAGCGTATTGAAGGAAACTAAGTACCGATTGGTACCGAGCTCCGCATATCAATTTTGTGTGGAACCACGCTGTCTGTTGGTAGAAGTGGGTGTTGTGGGTGTGTCTACAGATTTGGTACTCGATTGTAGCCCTTATGTTATCAGTAGATTTCACGTTTTGTATGTTTATCAAGATTTTCTTGCGTAGAAAATGATTTTTCCACCTACCTTTTTTACAAGTTCGGTAGACCTTTTTCCAGCTGTTCTGCTGGTATCACACAAATTAATTAAAACTTTGTATAAACTAGGTGAAAAGCAATTTGAAATGGCAAGAAACTTTACACACACAACTAATTCGGCAGCGGAACAACAAGCCTAACCTCCTTTCTCCCCAAAACTATGGAGAAAGCAATTGACCAGTACATCGGAAGCGAAAGCAATTTGCCTATCAGCTAGGCAAGTCCACAACAAGTTCTTTACACTGCCTGGTTGACAGACATCAAAAGAACAATCGAGTGTAAAGAGATGGCTCTCACAGCATTCATTGACATAGAGGGTGCCTTCGACAACACCTCATATCAATCAATCGCTAGAGCCTCACAAGAATGGAATGTTGAAGTCCCAATTGTAAAATGGATAGAGTCGATGCTAAAATACCATTACTTTAAGACTGAAATGAACGGAGCATCAGCTACCACAACCAGAGTCAGACGGTGTCCTCAAGGGGTGTTCATTCTCAACTATATGGACACTAATCGTGGGCAAAATTCCTACTAGACTGAGTAGTGCCTGATAACAGGTCATAGGCTATGCAGATGACCTAGTCATTATAATCAAGGGCAAACAAGATGGCGTAATAACAAGCCGAATGCAAAGTTCTCTAAGCATTGGTAAAAATTGGAGCGAAGGCGATGAACTATCCAAACCCAAGCGAAACAATTCTTGTCCTGTTCACAACAGACACTAAATTTGAAAGCCCCACCCTTACACAACTAACATTTGCCAACAAAGTAAAATACTTAGGGGTCACCCTGGACAGAACACTCACTTGGAACAAACAGTTCGAGAAAACACGTTCTCAAGCAATATCTACCATCTGGTCATGCCGCAAACTGGTTGGTAAAACATGGGGGCTAAAGACAAATATGGTATTCTGGATTTATAACCAAACTATAATAAAGCCCATGGCCACATATGCCTCATTGGTATGGTGGCCCAAAACTCAGGAAGCCACCGCTCAGATCAAGCTAAACAAGGTACAAAGGCTGACAGGAGCAATGTCGACCTGTCCCACCGCAGCCCTAGAGACGCGGTTTAACATGCCTCTACTTTACCTATGTGTGAAAAAGGAGGCAATAATCAGCGCTCACAGGCTATTCCAAACAGAAAAACTGGAGAATGCCAGCAAACCCAGCGACCACATGATAGTCAGATTGGACTTACCACAAGCAGACAAGGCCTCTCTGTCGTAAACAGAAGGATCAAAACTAATGGAAGCAGCTGGACTGGGCATTTCCGGCCCTAACTTCAAGCCGAACTGCTTGCACAAGAGTGTCTCAACCAAAGCGCCAAAGCCCCAAAAGAAAAAACATGTTCATACTATCTGATAGCCAAGCTTAGAAGCCTTAGGGGCTTTCAAATGCATGTCAAAACAAGTCTGGGAGTGTAAACAGACCCTAAAAATACTAGCGACACACAACCAGGTAACGCTGATATGGTTGCTTGGTCATCGAGGCATAGAAGGAAACGAAGAAGCAAATGGCTTCGCAAAAGAAGAGGCCTCAACACCGTACCATGGACCAGAGCCCTATGCTTAATGAAAAACCACATCATGGAAGAACTCCACAAATGGGAGAAAGACCAACTGTCATCATATCGGAGGCACACTCCGGGACTAAGACAGTCATAAAGGTTTATCACCTTTTCAGAAAAAGAGCTGTTAGAAGCTGTTCTAAACATGAGCAGATCAGAATGGTTGTAGGTCTTCTGCTCACAGGACACTGCCTGGTGAAATATCACCTAAATGGGGCGTGACCCAAAAATAAAAGAACAAATTTTCGACCTACGACTAACCGTTGCGTAGAGTCCGCGTCAAGAGTAAAGAGTACGGTGTCGTCATATGCGCACAAACCCAATTTTAAAGACTAACTGAACTATCGTATCGATCGGTGCTGCTGCCGAACGCCAAGCAGTGGTTCATTGTCGTACGGCCAGCAGGCATATTTATTTAGTTTATTTTCTATCCAAGTTTTGTCTAAAAAGATACCCCGCTGCTGGTTTCAGCTCACGGCCGAGGTCACGGCAGACAGCGAGAGATAGACGAGGGAGAGAGATCCGACCCGCTTTGCGCAGTTTTTTATGTCGTCACCGTAGTCTTTACTGCTGACGCGGACTCTATAAAGTTCCCACTCCTAGCACTGTGACGTCACATTCCCAAACTGAGTCCGCCTTTGGTCTCTGCGCGCGTGTTTGCTCATGCTTGCTGCATATGTTATCGGCATTATCGTATTGCTTTTGCATTCTCATCCCTATCGCTTTAAATAGGTTTTGCAATTTTTGCGTGTAAAAATTGGCAACTGTGAAAAGTGCGTTTCGGTCTGAGGTGAAGGGGAAGGAAAAAACGATACGAAAATACAGAGTTGCAATGAAATAGAGCGAAATAGAAATATTAGTTCGCGAATTTGCCGCCGGCAAATTCTCGCTAGTCGCGCTATATTCATGACGTCATGCGATGAATAGACAAAGCTTTATTTAGGCGCATCTACCTTATTAATTTGAGTAGCGATGCGAGATTTTCACAAGTTGTATTTTAAGGTTACACCTCCTTTGAGGTCAACAGGCAGAGCAGAAGACGATTTTTGCAAATTCTGCTCAGACGCAATACAGATGTGTAGCCCAAATCTGCAAGACGAACAAATTCCTCGAGGGGGCAAGACTGTCACCAGAAGAAATGGGCCAACTGGCACTCAGAAAAATAGCTTCCTTCGGCAGAAGTCTACGCTTCCTGGAAACAATTTAGGATGTAGAGTCACGTACAAAATATCTGCAAATGTAGCAGTGCTGAGCGGCTCCCTCCACAATCTACAATCAACAACTTTTTTAGGAAAAATTCCCAGTCCTAGTAAAGGAAGATAGACTTCTACCTATTTACTGGCGCATTGCAAAAATTGGACATTTGAATGTGAGAACCATGAAAAGAACTTTGAGGATACCTACCTATTACAAAGCTAAATTTGCTAGGTAATCAACAGAAACTTTTTTTTTTCTAAGCCTTCAGGTCTTCAACAGGACTTTGAATTGAGTCAAATCAAGAGGCAGATGAGATGGATGGACGATCTCAAACTAACCGCAGTTGGTGAAAATAGAGTTCGCTAGCGGTATTGAAAAATGACGATATCCAATTATAGATGCAAGTAGAATAAGAAACAGATTGCTTAATTGCATCATCTTCTGCTGAAACTTATATCATATCCACAATCTAAATATTAGATTGTGGAAGAAGTACAGAATACTACTACTTGAATTATAATTAGTAATCTTAGGACTGTCTCCTTTCCTGAAAATCATAAACATTCTAAGATTGCAAAGAATCCCTGTTACTATAGCTCACCCTCGCATCTTTAACATTTCGGCAGTTACATGATTATTTCTTGAAGTTTTTTTGGTTTTGACTTGTTCAACTGCCTTTAATGTTCCTGCTCACGTTTTTTCTCAGATTTATTCTTAGTCCGCTTTCATACTTTGTATACATTTTTATACAAGTTTTGAATTACCTCTGTCATTAATCGTTTGTCTGTAATCATTAATTTTTACGTTTCTGCTTTTTATTTTTTCTTTTCCCCTTGACTTGCCAAATTTCGCTCACATAACTTTTTTAATTAAATGCTTGGTTTTTTTCTGGAGAATGCGCATAATTTTAGGTTGGTTTTTAAAGTACCATATCTATGTTTTGCAAGTAATTTGTTGGTTTTATTATTTTTAAAAAGTGTCTCTAACCTTCTTCAAGGCCAAGGCCAAGTGATTTTGTTGTTCTACAACTGTCCTAATTTATCATATTTATCTACCTACTAAGATTTATTAGGAAATATAATATGCACATACATAAAAAGCTTTTGAATTTTTTTCAGTATATATATGTGGCCGACTTTCCTACTTATTTATTAATTAAAAAGAAATTGCCATGCTTTCTGTAATGGAGGCTCCTACAGTTTTTGTCTTGATAGCATTTTCTTCAATAGCACATGCGAGTGTACCAAATTTTGCTAAACTTTATAGGGAAACTGAAGATTTAATAGAGCTATCTAAAACTTACCACAGATTGGAAAATAATGATGAATATTTTGTCAATTTTGACCACAGTAAGAAGCCACTATGTAAGTAAAAGTATAAATTCGTTAACCAAAATCTAAGAACATGTAGACATAAAAAAATTTGTTATAGATTTTGGAGCTTTTGACTTTATAGTTGTCGGAGCTGGAACAGCGGGCGGTATTGTGGCCAATAGATTATCAGAATCCAATTTTAAGGTCTTATTAGTTGAAGCAGGTCCCCAAGATCCAGATACTGCGTCGGTGCCAGGCCTTAACGGATATTTTTTCAATACACCCTTGGATTGGGGTTATAATACAACTGAAGAAGATAAAATTTGTCTTGGTAATAGACCTATTATATTATATCAGCTAGGAAGTAGAATTAGGAGCTTTTTCGGAAAATTTGGATAGAAAATCAGATCTACTAGCTCCTTGAGCCTTTCTATACTGTCTACTGATATAGAGGATAGGTTTCTCAGATGCGGAAGGAACAGTGAGATTTGTTCGGACAATAAGATTTATTGAATTTCACAAAAATATGCTAATAATTGAAACTATTCTCGAAAACCAAGTTTGGCTTTCGAAGTGTTAAATACATTTTAACAATCAAATATCATTATAGGATAGAAAAAATGTTCAGCTCCTGGTTTTTCGCTACTTCTTATTGAACGCAAATGGCTGACATAATTTCATTAGAATAGCTATGTAAATAAAAAACCTTTTCAGCAACAATTGATAAACGTTGCATTTATCCAAGAGGTAAAATGTGGGGTGGAACAAGTAGCCTTAATGGAAACGTTTATAGTAGGGGCACCAAGTGGGATTATGATGCTTGGGCAGAAAAGGTTGGCAATACTGACTGGTCTTATGAAAATGTATTACCCTATTTCAAAAAAGCTGAAAGAGCAATGTTCAAAATCGACTTGGATAAAAGTTATCATGGATTCAGTGGCCCCCAGCGCATAGATTTATTAGAAGACACTCCGGGATTGGTGAGAATAATTAATACTTTCATTTCAAAAAGTTAATGTTACCAATTTACTTCGAAGACTACAATGTTATTGAGAGCTTTCAAAGAAAGAGGCTCAATTGAGCAGGATTATAATGGACGGAACCCTTATGGTGTCAGTAGACCCCAAAATTTTTTAGATAGAAATGTCCGTGCAGGAACAGCGCATGCTTACATAAGACCAGCGGCTAATCGACAGAATTTGCTTATAAGTGACAATTCATTGGTAACTAAAGTTATTATTGCAAATGATAGAGCAGTGGGTGTAGAGTTTGTGAAAAAGGGAAAACTCTATTTTGCTCAGGCTTCCAAGGAAGTAATTTTGTCTGCTGGTGCCATAAATACGCCACAAATTTTAATGCTATCTGGCATTGGTCCCTCACAAAAACTAATAAAACATGGCATAGAACTTGTTAAAGATCTGCCAGTAGGGCAAAATTTACAAGATCACATAGCAGTTTATCCAATATTTTTCAGGTAAGTTACTTAATCTTTTCAGAATCTTATTTCAAAAGGCATTACATTTTTATAGGACCCATCACACTTACTATAATTTGACACTAAAAGAACAACTAAGATTATGGTATGCGAATAGAAGACCATTGACTGCTGCCGGGGGAAAGCAAGTAATTAGCTTTAGAAACCTGGAAGATGATACAAGTAGTAGTCCTGATACTGAATATATTGGCACTGGTCCAACTGCTATAGGCAGTAAAATAGCAACTGGCAATAGGTAAGTTTTAATAAAAACGACTTATTTTAGGTACGCCGAGCAATTTGTCAAACTGCTTATAATTTAGCTAAAGTAATCTTCACACTGAGCAAGTTTACCATACATTTCTGCTACTCTTTTGTTGATTGAACATGTGGGAACATTTCATTAATGCTGAAGCGACAACCTTTAGGAATGCTCTAGTTTTGTTTTTGCTGCAAGGCAATATTTTATCAAAATGCGAACAAAATCTATAGAAAAAAAAGCCCTTTGGTGGGCAAGACATATCTTAAAGTGAATAAAAACATAAAACTCTATTGCAACTTTTTTTTTCCAGATTCAATGAAGAATTTACAGCTGCGTACCAAATTCTCAACGAGCACACTGATTTTTCGTTTCAAGTTTTTGTGCTACATCCTGAATCCAAAGGAGAACTAACGCTTCAATCAAAAGACCCAAGAGATTATCCTTTAATAGACTTCAACTTTTTTGCTGTTGAAAAAGATTTAGAAACATTGTACCGATCAATCCAATGGATATTGGAAATACAAAACACCAAAGCTTTCAGAAACTTTAGAGCTGAGCGCTTGTTTGTGCCAATGCCGGGTTGTGACGAAAACTACGAAATAGATTCTAAAACGTGGTGGTATTGTGTGTTAAGACACATTGGGTCTCCTGTGAGTAGGTAGCAAAAAATTAACTCTTTCTTCATTCTTTATATTTTAGGGCTTTCATCCTATTGGTTCGGCAATAATGGGTTCAGGTCCCTGGAACTCTGTAACCAATCCAGAACTTAAAGTTCATGGAATTCAAGGGCTTAGAGTTGCAGATGCTAGCGTTATTCCAGTCACTATTGCTGGTCATACGACTGCGCCTTGTGTAATGATTGCAGAAAAAGTATCTGATCTCATCAAATCTGAGCATGGACAATAAATATTATTACCTACCTATACGTGTTATCAGATATTCACTTGAAATTTAAAGATAGCTTAAATTTCATCCATAAAGGAGGTAATAAATAATTGGTATATAAAATTCTCTGAGATGGACAATGTTCTTTTCGAGGAAAACATGAATTAGTTTCTAAAGACTGAATTCATAATAAGTAAAATTATAACTAACAAATCTTTATTCAATAAACTATTTAAAAATGCCTGTTTCTTTCTACAGAAATGAATAGGTACCTATTGTCCGTCGATTTTAATCTGACACTTTCCGTATGAGGAGCGAGGGGGTGAAGTATATGGCAAAAACAGGTGTGATGTCAGGTGGCCATTGGAGTTCTAATGTAGGGTACCACCAGCTCACATTCCTTCCGAGTATCAGATTGAAATCGACGGACATTAAGTATCTACCTGTTTTTTCACTCAAACAGGTTTTGCCCTTATGGCTTTTCCCTGGTGTGTGTGTCCAGCACTTTCTCCAGACTTGTCAGAAAGAATGATGTGAGACTTATCGGTCTGAACGGGTATATATACTTTACTACCCTTGTCCTTGACTGTCTAGTTTTTTATGAGACATTAAGCTAGGCTTGATCTGAGTATGTCAATCAATCAATCAGTCCGTTTTGGAGTAGAGCCGGATACTCTTATACAAAAATATTCTAAGTTCACTAAATTATTGCCGATTTAAGATTTCATAATTCATTAGAGAATTGAGGCGGATAGAGATACAGATATCGCAGAGTCCAAGCCCAGACCTCTTTGCTTCATTTCTAGTGATCTTAATGATCTTTCTTACTTTACTCCTTAGCAGTTTTGGGTATGAACGAAAACAGATTCTCCAAGTTTCAATATCAACATCAGATAGTGCAGAAATTCCGGTGTCGATCGACGAATGTATATGCATATTGGAACAGAAAGTTGTTCGCTACCTTTCAAACCAGGTTTTCTAGTCCTAGTAAATGAAGATGGACTTTAATCTATTTTCTGGCGACTTGTGAAAAATATGAAATGAACAATTAGGAGACTTGTTAGTAACTTAAATGTGCAAGAGAGAACATTTTTTTTTTTTCAAAGCCTTCAGGTTTTCAAGGGAACTACACATGGAACTTTGAATGGAGACAGATCATGAGGCAAAAGCAGATGAGATGGATCGAAGATCTCAAACTAGCCGGTTGGTCAAAATAGGTGGTAGGTATTGTGAGAGGACGATATTCAAAGATGGATGGAAGTAGAATCTCTCTAAAATGTTGATCCATAATTAGAAATTCTGATACTGACAGCCTTCCTGGAAATCAATAAACTTAGAGTATTGACAAGAATTTCTCTCACTTGCTCAGATCTTGGCAGAAACCTGATTATTTCTTGGGGCTTTTCTGATTTTGATCTGTTCAACTGCCTTTCATGTTTTGCTCACGTTATAAGTTCTTAGATTTATTCTGACACTGCACGTAGAATTTTCTGTTTATTTTCGATTTGTACAAATTCTTATACAAGTTTTGAATTATCTCTGTCATTAATCGTTTGTCTGTATATACTCTATCATTAATTCCTATATCTCTATTTTCGATTTTCTCGTTTTCTCTTGATCTGTTAGTTTTCACTCACATCATTTTTTGAATTTAATGCTTGGTTTTCTTCCTCTTATCCTTGTTTATTTATACTCTTTTCGTATTTGTTGGAATTTCTATCTGTTTTTTTCTCTAGCTTAACAAAACTAGGGGAATTTAATACTTTAAGTTTTTTTTCTTCTGCAGAATGCGCATAAGATTAGGTTTTTTTTTTAAGTAGCATATATTTTGTTGGTTTCATTATTTTAAAAATATGTGTCTCTAACCTTGTTCAAGGCCAAGTAATTCTACTATATTTACAAAAAAAAAACAACCAACTTATATGTATCTACCTACTAAGATTTATTATTAAACATAATAATATGTACATACATTAAAAGCTTTCGAACTTTTTCAAGTATATATAGGTGGCCTACTTCCCTTCTTATTTATTCATCAAAAACAAATTGCCATCCTTTCTGTAATGAGGGCTTCTGCAGTTTTTTTCTTGATAGCAATTTCTTCAATAGGACATGCCAGTGTACCAAACTTTGCTCAACTATATAGGGAAACTGAAGATTTGATAAAGCTGTCTAAAACTTACCAGAGATTGGAAAATAATGATGAATATTTTGCCAATTTTGATCACAGTAAGAAGCCACTGGGTAAGTATAAAAGTACAAATTCGTTGAGCAAAATCTAAGAATAAGTATAAAATCAATTTACAAATTATGTAGATACATAATTCACAAATTTTTGTTGTAGATTTTGGAACTTTTGACTTTATAGTTGTCGGTGCTGGAACAGCGGGTGGTATTGTGGCCAATAGATTATCAGAATCCAATTTCAAGGTCTTATTAGTTGAAGCAGGTCATCAAGATCCAGATACTGCGTCGGTGCCAGGCCTTAGCTCATATTTTTTTACAACGCCTTTGGATTGGGGTTACAATACAACTGAAGAAGATAAAATTTGTCTTGGTAATAATCAAAGACCTATTATGATATTATATTAAATAGGAAGTAGAAATTAGGAGCTCTTCCAAGGTTTATTTAAATTTCGCTTCTTTTGCATCCTTTTCTAATTTGCAACTCAAAATGTTTTGAACTGACTTTGGGTCTTCACGATCTTTATCCCTTCTTCCTTCTCTTACAAAGTCTTTGTGAAGATAGTAGTATTCAATATCGGTAGCATTTCATGGACTACGGCTTTTTGTCCAAACCTCTCCATGAGAAAAATTTTCACCACTAGGCTTCGGAAAATTTGGGAAGAGAAGTAGATCTACTACCTCAATGAGCCTTCCTATACTGTCTACTGATGCTGAGAATATGATATCATTGAGTACTAGGGAACTAATTGAATTTCACAAAAATATGCTAAGAAATAATAGAAATTATTCTTCACAACCAAGTTCGGCTTTTGGAGTCTTAGGTTAACAACCGAATATCATAGAGGATAAAAACAATGTCCAACGTACTATTAAGTCTATAAAATCTCCCGTTTTTTGTTTCCTACTTCTTGTTTAACGCAAATTGCTAACATTATTTTAGTAAAGTAGCTATGTAAGTAAATACAAATTTCGTTTCAGCAACAATAGATAAACGTTGCATTTATCCGAGAGGTAAAATGTGGGGTGGAACAAGTAGCCTTAATGGAAACGGTTATAGTAGGGGCACCAAGTGGGATTATGATGCTTGGGCAGAAATTGTTGGCAGTAATGACTGGTCTTATGAAAATGTTTTACTTTATTTCAAAAAAGCCGAAAAAGCAATGTTTAAAATCGGATTGGATGAAAGTTATCATGGCTTTAGTGGCCCCCAGCGTATAGATTTTATAGAAGACACGCCAGGATTGGTAAGGATAATTGAGACTTTCATTTCAAAAATTTAATGTAATCAATTTACTTCGAAGACTTCAATGTTATTGAGAGCTTTCAAGGAAAGAGGCTCAATTGAGGTGGATTATAATGGACGGAACCCTTATGGCGTCAGTAGACTCCAATATTTTTTAGATAGAAATGTCCGTGCTGGAACTGCGCATACTTACATTAGACCAGCGGCTGATCGACCGAATTTGCTCATAAGTGACAATTCATTGGTAACTAAAGTTATTATTGCAAATAATAGAGCAGTGAGTGTAGAGTTTATGAAAAATGGAAAACTCTATTTTGCTCGGACTTCCAAGGAAGTTATTCTGTCTGCTGGTGCCATAAATACACCACAAATTTTAATGCTATCTGGCATTGGTCCTTCACAAGAACTAAAAAAACATGACATAAAACTTGTTAAAGATCTGCCAGTAGGGCAAAATTTACAAGATCACATAGCAGTTTATCCAATATTTTTCAGGTAAGTTACCTTCTTTTTTCAAAATCTCATATCAAAAATCATTACACTTTTATAGGACTCGTTACACGTACTACAATTTGACACTAAAAGAACAACTAAAATTATGGTATGAGAATAGAAGACCATTGACTGCTGCCGGGGGAAAGCAAGTAATTAGCTTTAGAAACCTAGAAGATGATACAAGTAGTAGTCCTGATACTGAATATGTTGCCACTGGTCCTACTGCTGTAAGCAGTGGAATTGCAACTAGCAATAGGTAAATTTTAATAAACATAGCCATTTATATTGTCAAGCTGCTTATTAGCCTATCTAGAATACCTGACTTTGACAATCTGTGACTTTGACAACCAAACAAAGGGTTTGTGTGCCTCCTGGCGGACATTTTAATTTAAGTTTGACAGCACCTTGAATAGTCAGCCTATCCAAAACATGTGACTTTGACAAGCAAACAATGGCTTTGTGTGCCTCTTGTCGGACATTTTAATTTAAGTTTGATAGCATTTTGGATAGTCTTCAACCTTCGGTTGACTCCATGCAAATTGATAGGATTCAACCGAAGGTTGAAACTCAACCATCGGTTCAGTGTTTTGTAATACCCTCCCTTAATAATGTAGCTAAAGTTTTGTTCACACTGAGCAAGCATACAATACATTTCTGTTAGTGCGCGTTCACATTGACACCGCTCGAGCGATGAGTGCTGCGCGATGCCGCTGTAGTGATGCCCAAAAATAATTTTAAAATTATATTTCGAATGAACATGTTCACACTGGATCGGTGCGTCGCGCGGTGTTAACATGCTCATTCGAAATATAATGTTAAAATTATTTTTGGGCATCGCTACAGCGGCATCGCGCAACGCTCACCGCTCGAGCGGTGTCAATGTGAACGCGCACTTACTCTTTTTTGGCTAGTTTAACATGAGGTATGAGCTTCCAAAACCTTGAAATGCATTACCAACATATCAAAGACAGTATTCACAGTGCAGCATTTGAAGCCCTTGGCAAATATGAAAAAAAGGGAAGTAGGCCCACACCTTATTGGTGGGATCAAGAAATAGAAAAAGACATAGAAGATAAAAGGAAGAAATACCAACAGTATCTAAGTTCAAATAAGACACGAGACAAAGAAATATATAAAGAAGCACAAGCAAGAGTACGGAATAAAATTGAACACAAAAAGAACGAGTCATTGGAAAGAAACTGTGCGCATATTAATACTTATCTGGGGGGTAACAGAAACACAGAAAGTTGGAGATTACTCAAAAACATGAGAAAACAAAAACTAAGGATATTATCAATACAATAACACCCCAGCAATGGGAAGAGTACTTTGAAGAATTACTGACAGAACAGCGGACAGAGTTTAAAGAAGAGAGGGAACAGACACGAAATATAAAAACTGCAGGATCACCAATACGAGTTATGCAAGAAGAAGTTAAAAAACACTGCGGCTTCTTGAAAAATGGTAGGGCACCAGGCCCAGGAGAAATATATGGAGAACTGATAAAGTGTGGGACCAATAAACTCTACAAACATTTAACAAAACTATTTCAAACATGCATAGATAAACAAGAAGTACCGGAAGAGTGGAAAGTAAGCTATTTAACAACGATATATAAGAAAGGAGACAGAAACAAATGCGAGAACCACCGAGGAATTGCAGTAACAAATACGCTGAGCAGAGTGTATGGAAAACTCATAAAAGCCAGAATAGAGAACGAGTACAAAGATAGTGAGGCAGAAGAACAGGCCGGTTTTAGAGCAGGAAGATCAACTGTAGACCATTTATTCAGTTTGACCCAGGTAATGGAAAAGAAACTAGCCTATAACCAAGAACTCCATTTACTTTTTGTCGATCTAAAGAAAGCATACGACAATGTTCCGCTGAAAAAGCTTTGGAAAGCACTGGAAAAGACCAATATCAACTTAGAACTAATAAAGGCAGTAAAAACGCTCTATAGTGATGCAAAGACCAAGATTAAACAGGGAAACTCAATCAGTAAAGGCTTTATAGCAACTAAAGGACTTGAACAGGGATGCTGCATATCACCAACACTTTTTAAAATATACTTAGAACAAGCGCTCAAAGGGTGGAAAAACAAATGGAGACACATGGGAATACCGCTCAATGAATACAATCTTTATACTTTAGGCTTTGCAGATGATCAAGTATTAATTGCACAGGACTATGATGACCTAGAGTACATGACACGAAAATTGATAGAGGAATACGAGAAATGGGGTTTGGAAGTAAATTTAACGAAAACAGAATATATGACTATAGGAGGTGAACAACGAAATCTGAAATTGAATAACGGACAAGAAATAAAACAATGTTCTGAATACAAATATTTGGGCATGAAAATCTCACACGAGGGAACCCTAGACGAAGCAATTAAAGATAGGAATATACAAGGACGCAAGGCAATATCCCTACTAAATGGTGTACTGTGGGATCAAAATATCAACAAAACGAGAATATACAATACCATAGTCAAAAGCATAGTCATCAGAACCGCAAAAATGCTGGAAGCAACTGAAATGAACTTTTGGAGGAGATCGGCAGGCAGGTCAAAAATGGAGAGGATAACAAATCTGAGAATTAGGGAGATTATGGACGTAAAACACACAATAATAGATGATATAAAGGACAAACAGCTGATTTGGTTCGGACATGTACAAAGAATGGCAGATACAAGAATACCCAAGCAAATAATCGAGTGGAAGCCAGGGGGAAGAAGAAGACGCGGCAGACCAAGAAGAAGCTGGAGAAGTGGTGTAGACGAGGAAATGAAGGACAGAGGCCTAGAAGAGAATGCCTGGATTGACAGAGATGGTTGGAGATCGGGAATCGGAAGACGTAGTACGTTATAAACCGATAATTATATATTATATATAACATGAGGTAACACTTTGTCAACACTAGAGCGACAAACTTTAGTTTTGTTTTTCTTGCAATGCAATATGTTGAAATTGGAACAAAAACAATTTGGCGACACATAAAATTGTTAACAAGAAGAAAAGTTTGTAGGTAAAGGGCAGGAATTTTTTTTATTTTTTTTAATATAAAAATCCTAATAAGCAGTTTTTTTGGACTGTTTTGTAAAACTATCAGGAAGTATAGTTATCGATTCGAAATTGTTTGTTTCAATAAAATTCAAGGATAAATATTTATCGGAAATTTGGAAAGACTTCTTTTCAAATCAATAAGAGAAAACTATCGGCCACTATACCGGACCCTATTTAAAACTATAAAAAAAATTGGCTCACTTTGGTGGGCAAAACATATACCTTGAGGTTTGCTAATAAAACCATTAAACTATATTACAATTCACTTTCCAGATTCAATGAGGAATTCACAGCTGCATACCAAATTCTCAACGAGCACACTGATTTTTCCTTTCAAGTTTTTCTGCTACATCCTGAATCCCAAGGAGCAGTAACACTTCAATCAAATAACCCACGAGATTATCCTTTGATAGACTTCAATTTTTTTGCCGTTGAAAAAGATTTAGAAACATTGTACCGATCAATCGAATGGTTATTGGACATACAAAACACCAAAGCTTTCAAAAACTTCAAAGCAGAGCGCTTGTTTGTGCCCATGCCGGGATGTGACGAAAATTACAAAATAGATTCTAAAAAGTGGTGGTATTGTGTGCTAAGACACATTGGGTCTCCTGTGAGTAGGTAGCAAAAAATTAACTCTTTCTTCATTCTTTATATTTTAGGGCTTCCATCCTATTGGTTCGGCAATAATGGGTTCAGGTCCCTGGAACTCTGTAACCAATCCAGAACTTAAAGTTCATGGAATTCACGGGCTTAGAGTTGCAGATGCTAGCGTTATTCCAGTCACTATTGCTGGTCATACGACTGCGCCTTGTGTAATGATTGCAGAAAAAGTGTCGGATCTTATCAAAGCTGAGCATGATCAATAAATACTGCCTCACATTTTTTTAGATATTTGCTTGAAAGTAATTTCATCTCTACATAAAAGGTAATTATTGTTATATAATATACTGTGACATGGACAATGTTCTTTCAATATAAAAAAAAAACATGTAATTATTCTCTGAAGGTATAATTATTATTACCTATAACTTACTAATCCTTAATCAATATATTATTTGAAATGCGTATTGGTTTTGATAAAACTCATAACCTAGTAATAAATACTATTTTGATGTTTCCTTCTGTAAGGAAATTTGTTGTGATTTTGATTGATAAATTAATTTAATTTAATTCTCATTTCTCAACTATCATTCACCTACTTATTTCAGGGGTTTCACGTTCCACCACGTCCAGTCACTAAGTATTTCCCAGTTCTGATCAAACGACTGTATCCACTTCTTGTGATGCCAGAAATCTCAGATAGTAATCTGAGATGTTCTCCTAAAAGTTAGAGACAGATATTCCCTTGTGTTTTTTTTGCCATTTCGAACTAAATTAAACCCATCTACGGTTGCAGTCCCGATTTTTTGTCGAATAGTTTTCTGCATTCTTTCTCTTATATGTTTTTCCTCCACGAGGGTTTGGAATCAAGAACGACTTCGCTTGTATTTTCCTATAAACAGCTTGGTTTTTTGAGGATTTGCTCCCAATCCGTTCTATACTGCCCATCTGGAGAGTTCCTTTAATGATGACTCCATGAGTTGATAAGCTGAAGCCCCTCACCAGTACTACTACGTCGTCAGCAAACGCAATCAATTTAAAGTAAAGGTTTTTAGAATCATACCCAGCAAGCACGAAACATCTACAGGCAGTTTTGCGATATTCTTTCTAAATCCCCTGCACATATTGTTATGTTACAATGTAAAGAAGTACCTATTGAAGAATTCTAATTGCGACATTGAAGTGTCTCATGCCTGGTTTTTTCTTATATTACGTTAAGTCCTCCGCAGGAGATTCGAAAAACATTTATAATTTAAGGAACTTTTATTATTATTATTATTATTATTATTATTAGCAAAAAAGTAACTCTGTCGACAGCTATTAGTGACTGGTCATTACTATCCGCGTCAATAGGTGGTCTTGATGATGTATCTGCGACAATATTCGTACTTCCTGATATGTAGTCAATCTTGAGGTCGAAAGCTTGCAGTTGAAGTGCCCACCGGGCCAATCTACCAGTTGGTGATTTTAATGTCATAAGCCATCGGAGAGGTTGATGATCAGTTTTGACATAAACTGGTAAACCTTCTATGTATCCGCAAAACTTGTTGACTGCGTAGACAAGTGCAAAGGCTTCCCGATCAGTATAGCTATAGTTTTTTTCGGCCGCAGTTAGTAAACTGGCGTACTCTACCGGTCTTTCGTCGGGTTCCCCCCTGGAGCAAACATGCGCCACCAATAGCATAGGCACCGGCATCAGTCTTAATAATGTATGGCTTAGAATGATCGACTTGACGCAGAATAAGTGCTGTAGTCAGGAGAACTTTGCGTTTCTCGAACGATTCTTCTTGTGCCGAATCCCTCGACCACGAAACATTATTCCTTGTCAAGTAACTTAGCGGTCTGGAGACATTGTCAAAGTTTGGAATGAATCTACGGAACCATGAACAAGTCTGAAGAAAACTGAGAACTTGTTTCACTTTCTTGGGTGCGGCAGGATGGGTGATAGCGGCAACCTTTTCCGGATCGGCTTAGATACCATCTCGTCCAATAAGATGGCCAACATATTTAACTTCTGATGTACAGAAATTGCATTTTTTCTTGTTCACCTTTAACTTGTAAATGCGTAGACGGTTGAAAACATCACTCAAGTCTTTGATGTGTTGTCCAAAAGTCGTGAATACATTTATTAAGTCATCAAGGTATCCTAACATCTGGATATGCGGCGCAAACCTGAAAAAAAACGGTTTATTAGCTTTTAAAACGTAGCTGGAGCAGTGGGTAGACCAAAAGGCATCGTCTTATATCGATAAAGTCCGAATGGCGTGACAAAGGCGGTTTTATCACGATCTTCTTCTCTGACAGGTCTAAGGTGGTTATGTAGTTAGCTTTTCCAGTTGAATGGATAAGGTCATCTATACGAGGCAACGGGTAACGAACTTTCTTGGTGACAGCATTTAGTCGGCGATAATCAACACAAAGACGTGAAGTTCCGTCTTTCTTCAATACAAGGACTACTGGAAATGCGAATGGCGATTCGCTCTCTTCAATGATATCGCTGGCAAGAAGTTTGTCAAGCTCCCGACGCAAAACTTCTTTCTTCGCAGGAGATTAGCGATATGGTGGTGCAGATATGGGAATAACATTAGTGATGATTATGGTATGTTTAGCATATGGGGTAACTCCTGCATTTTCATCGAACAAATCCTTGTTATGTTCCAACAGCGATTTCGATGTCCCTTCTTCAATATTGGAGAAAGTCGGCAACGACAAATCATTCCCGTCAACAACAGATAAAGCTGCGTGGGAATCAAATACTTCATCCTGTATTGCTTGGATCATCATTGTGATAGTATATCTTCTTAGGAATATTGAGCACTAATCGATTTGTGATATGTAATCAACACCAAGTGAAGTCTCACTATATTTGTAGTCTGGAACAGCAATGATTTGCAGTTTTCGTTGTTTATTCATAACTTCGATGGAACACTGGTACACCTTTGCTTCAGCTTCTAGGGGTATACCATCAGCAAATACCAGTTTTATTGGAGCAGTTTTGAATGGATGCCGAATAGCATGTAAGTGGCTTAACAACTTTGAAACTGCAATACTGCATCCTGCTCCGGAATCCACAGAAGCAAAACCTGATTTACTTTGAATGATAACAGGTATCATGGGTCTTAAAGGCGGACCATCAAACGATGATAACAAACTGTAAAATCAGCAGCGAGCATTTAGACAGATGAAATGGTTGTTGGTGCTTTTACATTGAGGACAATTGGAACGAATATATCCTGGATTACCGCAACCATAGCATGTTACATTTGTGGAGGACGAGTTACTGGATCGGACTGTTAGGGCAGAAGTAGTGGAGGAGGCTTTCTCAGCAGACTCGGCTTTTTAATTTTCTGTAAACAGCTGGAACATGTCCATATGCTTTGCAAAATGCACACCCGTCCTTAGACTTCGCTGCAACGGACGTGGAAGTCAATTTTACGTTAGATTCAGCAAGGCTGGATTTGATTGCTCTACATTTGTCGATAATCTCTAAAAAGTTCTGGAAACTATGTCGAGGCAGTTTTTCCCTGATTTTATGGTGAAGGAGTCCATAAACCATTTCTAACTTGTGCTCCTCTGGCATAGGCGTGATTGGTCAACTTTGAAAGCAGTGCACGGGCTTGATTCACGAAAAGATCCGTTGGATCCTTGTTCTCGAGATAACAGCTCTCTATAAATCTGATGTGCTGGTTTGTTAAAGCCAAAAGCCATTTAGACCATAAGATTTTTGGCTTTTTGGTGCCTTGCCACCATACTGCAGCAGCGCCATCTAGGGCCATGGGTAAACCTTTTACAGTGTTATCGTCACTGATGTTGACATTCTTTGTAAGTAGTGATGGCATCAATAAAAGCTTTAGCATCTTCGTCTGGCTATCCCTAAAACCTTGAGCCGCATTTAGAAAAATTGGCAGCTGTACTTTGGTCCGAAGTAGATTCTGGCATATTCTGAAACATATCTCTCATACCAGCGAGTAATGTTTGTAATTGTTCATTCGTCAGAACAACAGGTTCACCCATTTTGTCTTGATTTGTTTGGAACGTTCAAAGATTATGAGGCATCAACAGGAAAATCCAGCTTGGAGTAAGCCAAGCGATGGAAATGTAGTGCTGAGAAACAGCAAACTCGGGTAAATCCTGACAAACAGACGACTGTAATGTGGGAACCCTTCGAACAAACTTGGACGGACACACAGGAAACTGAATTGTGGGTACAAAATGGAGGACAAACTTAGACACACAGGAAACTGTAATGTCGGCACAAAAATGGAGGACAAACTTGGACACACAAGAAACTATAATGTCGGTTTGTGTGGAATATTCCAGAAATTGTGGGAACAAAATCTGAATGTGGCACAACTTACACAATTCAGTCAATTATTGCACATTCACACCGATAATGTCTCGCGTTTTATAGTTCACTAGCTAATGACCCGCTGCGTTGCCAGCATGTAAATACATTTTGAAATAATACACTTCCTTTCAAATTTTGTTGTTGATTTTCTATTTAATTTTTTTTTTTCAATCCGATATCATAGTTGCTTGCCAGTGAGTTCAGTGACGCATTTTAAGCACTCCAGAGCTGCTCTAGAGGGCCCCGGGCTGTTTATAGGCGTTCCAGTGTATCAGAGTTTTACGCAACCGAACTTTTTTTTTCGGGATAAAAAATAGCCTATATCACTCTCCTCTATAGCCGATTCGATTGACCGGATTAGATCGATCTGGCTCAATTTAAGTGAACCACACTGTATTCGATTCAAGCTTGAGCAGTGCACCCTCACCAACAAAAAAATGATCTAGATCAGAAGAAGTTCACTTAAATTGAACCCAAATCGACCTAATCTGGGTCAATCGAATTCACCTTATATACAGGGTGTCCATTTTAAGTGTTACCACTATTGCTATCTCCGAAACGGTAAGAGATACGAGGTCGGTTAAATTAGGAAAAAGTTGCCTTTTTTGATGCTCATCTAAGACTCGTTTACAGTGTTGCCCAATTCCTTTCAGTTTATGAAATATAGGGTAATTTCTAAAAAACGCCTAAAACTATTTCATCAATTATTTTGAAAACTATTGACTTTCGGGACACAATTTAAATTTGAAAGTCTTATAATTTTTATCGCTTTATAACATGGTATCTTCAAATTTCCAATCCGACGTTTCGTGATCAGGCTACCATCATCAACTTAATTTTTTCAAATACGGACCTGGATTTTTTGTCATTTTTAGAAAGCGCCCTTTATTCGTTTTTTAACGATATACCTCTTAGGTA